ATTTACAAGATATTTATCAATTAGAATTAAAATGTAGTAAATAAAAACTATTATTCAATAAATATTTTTGTTTTAAATTAGTTTATTGTAACAATATTTAGAGTACAGTATTTACAAATACATTTTTATGATTTGTTAGTTAACATTGAATAATAAATATAAAATGAAGTAATATATTAAAATAAATATGCATCAACAAGTAAATCATTAGTTATTTATATTAAATATAAACTATATAAAAATTAAATTATAAATATGATTAACAATAATAACAATGAATATGTTTTAATTAAATTTACATCTATTTACTTGTATTCTCATTCTTTAAGTTAATAATAAATTTAATTTATTTCATTAATGTATCCGGCACATAAAAAAAATATCTTAAATAATGTATGAGTCGAGTGGGTGTATTAAGTTAATAGATGAATTTAATGTAATTTATACCGGAATGTTCTTGAAAACTAGTGAATCTATTTAGATATCAATATATTGTTTAAATCTATGTATAAAACTTTTAAGTACGGTAATCATCATCATTTAATTTACATAATATATATAATTTACTTTTGATTTGAATGCAAAACGATTACAAAATATAGAGTCGAGTGAATGATAGACTAGTGAATAAGTATCGCAAATAATTGTTTGTTTCACTTTTGTACGGAATATGAGTTAAGTCGACTGAGCTCCTGTGTGTTACGGGACGCGTCTAAAGCATCTAGCTTATCCATTTCAGTGTCCGTGAGCCGAGGTTTGTACCGCATTCTCGTCAATAGCCTTCTCAGACTCAACTCTAACCACCTTTTTCGTCTGTTAAACACAATAGTCGTTAAGTAAGTATCAAACAAAGTGTAATTAATTCTGTAATTAACCAAAAATACTAAACACTTATAATCAACGCTACGTTTGTGTGTGTGTGTCAACAACACCAACGAGGTACTTTGTTAACTTGTTAATTTTGTTAACTGTTAACGAGGTAGTTTATTTGTCTATGTAATACACGACTGGCTTTTCACCACACGAGTGGTCATTCGTTTGTCAGTTCGGGTCCGGAATTTGCAAAACAATGATTTGATTACAAATACCTTAAAGTTTTCGCTCATAAAACCGTAAACGAATGGATTGATGAACGAGTGGCTCATCGATAGGAAGTGCGAGAAGAAGTAACTGAAAACATAAGTCATGTATAGAGTCCGCGAGTTATTGATGTTCGGCGGGAAGAACCACACGATTATGTTGAAGATGTGGATCGGCAGCCAACACACCGCAAACAGTATGACGATTGTGATCAACATCTTCACCACCTTTCCGCACATACGACACAAATATTTTAATTTTATTAGTTTTATTCATTTGGTAGCAAATTCTTAAGCTTAAGTAAACTATGAAACAATTATTCTGTAATTGTTTTCCATTTCTTTTAATCCCATTATTGAGTCCATTGTGTCTATACTATAATTGAGTTTTTGTTGTTTTTCACTACTGTACTTGTTTATTTAGTTAATTAAAGGATAGTATTTTTCTAAAAAATAAGATTTTACTTTAATAAGAATTTAAACTTTAAATTTTAAAGCCTGCGTACAGTGACTATAACTATAGTTGATTCAAAGACTATGTCATTAATTAGCCCTGCGTAAATAAAATCAAAATAAATAATTATTCTTAAAGACTCGATTACATAAACTTCAAAGATTGTCGACACTTAAGCCTATTACTGGTATCAGAGTTTGTTTTGTTTAATAGCAATTCATGACACGTCTCGTAAAGTACAGCTAATATACTATACTATAGCGCAGGCATTGCATAATACTGTGACAATAGATAGATTGAAAAAACTTATTGATGTTTAAGTTTGTAAATAAATATTGATTACACTTTGAATTAATAAACATTAGTCACAGAATCGGTTGTATGATTGCATACCAAACGCTATTCTCATTAAATTTTCAATATCTTTAAAGCCGTAAATCTTAACGTACTATAAGTGCAAAAGTAATTTCAAGTGATAATGTAAGTGCACTTAATGTTAGAAATTGAAAATAATTAAATTTGTCAGTGTAAAAAAGCCTATACCTTAATCTTGAGCTTCCACTGAGCCAGGTCGCGGACTCGGTCCGGATTTCCCGGCGTATTATGGCGTAAAATATACCAACAAACGGATGTATAGACGAAAAAATTTGTCAGTGTAAAAAAGCCTATACCTTAATCTTGAGCTTCCACTGAGCCAGGTCGCGGACTCGGTCCGGATTTCCCGGCGTATTATGGCGTAAAATATACCAACAAATGGATGTATAGACGAAAGTGAGTACAGAGATGGGCAGCGCGAATGTGACGATGAATATGAAAAGGGTGTAGTGTTTGCCCGCCTCCTCGTCCCACATCTCTCGGCAGTCATAGTAAGTCTCGTTTCCGTAGGCAAACCTCACGGCCTCTGTCTTGAAGTACGGGATTAACGCGATTCCGATGCTAACCATCCATATGATGAATAGTACCCAAAGTTTGTGTGAATTCAGATAAAGTGTGGTTTGAAATGGATATACGATAGCGAAGTATCTGCCATAAGTTTAATGAATACAAAGTTTTTA